ATTGGTACAGTGAACTGATTATTTTGTCCTTCAGGAAACGTATTTTACAATATCCATATGAGAAAGTAAGGTATTTTCAGTAGTCCTGAAGGCAAAGATTACTGATAGAAAGAGGTGCATTATCGGTATGATGTAAAAACCATTGTTCATGGTTTTATTACAGAAATGCATTATAAGAAGGAAGATCTGTAATTGAAGTAATAAGACAAGAAATATGACAGTCGAATATTTATATGTAAAAACAACAAAAAAAAAAACATCTTGAACATGCCATATTCACAATTTACATTATCCTTAACGCAGAAAATGATCGTTTACATATCTGCTTTTAATAAAGGCGCCGTTCGCAGCTTCGCGTTTTTACTGTTCTGCTAACGGAGCAAATAATTTCCTTGGTTTGTCCGGAACAATATCGTTTTCGAAAATGGCCTAAACTAATTAATAAAATTGCTATGCAATGCCATCCGCCCGTCCAGTCGTCATTCATCGATTTAGTCGGCATCCTATAAATTCGAACACCTTGGTTCAGACGCATTCACCAGCTGAATACTGAAATTAATTAGCGCGCACACGCGATCGCTGTCGAAGTTCACAAAATGGAACGCGTGAACATGACAATTTCCATTGGGTTTTATCTTTCGAGAGACAATAACGACGAAAGCTAATCGCTCTCCGACTGAAGACTGGTGAGAACGGATATAAACCGGAAGTTCTTCCGATTCATTCCGTTCGAAAAGTGTTGAAACATGAATGTCGTAGCCATAACTATTATTAACTTTCTTTCGATTTACGACGAGACAGAAAATAATTTCTGACAAATGTCTCTCTCTCTCTCTCTCTCTCTCTCTTGTAGGCTGTTCATATCTATCTATCTATCTATCTATCTATCTTAGCCTTTTCATATGTACCTAGCTCATTATGTCCACATATATCTATATATCTCAGTCTGTTGTCTCTCTCTCTCTCTCTCTCTCTCTCTCTCTATATATATATATATATATATATATATATATATATATATATATATGTTTATGGATGTATATATATATTTATACATATATGTATGTTTTTATATGTACCTATCTCATTCTGTTTCCACCTTTCTATCTATCTCAGTCTGTTTATCTCTCTCTCTCTCTCTCTCTATATATATATATATATATATATATATATATATATATATATATATATATATATATTTTGTATCTTCCTAACCTCATTCTGTCAACATCATCTATCTATCTATCTATCTATCTATCTATCTATCTAGCTAGCTAGCTAGCTAGCTACCTAGCTAGCTAGCTATCTCAGTCTTTTCATATGTACCTAGCTCATTATGTCCACATATATCTATCCATCTCAGTCTGTTCATCATTCTCTCTTTATTATATATATATATATATATATATATATATATATATATATGTCTTTTTTTGTATGTACCTATCTCTTTCTGTCTCCATATTTCTGTCTATCTCAGTCTGTTGATATCACTGTCTCTCTCTCTCTGTCTCTCTCTCCCTCTGTGTCTGTCTCTCTCTCTCTCTCTATATATATATATATATATATATATATACATATGTCCGTCATTTTTATATCTTCCTATTTCTTTCTGTCCACATCTATCTATCTATCTATCTATCTATCTATCTATCTCGCTAGTTACCGTTTTTTCATATCTATCAAAACAAATATCTAACTCTGTTATTGTCAAAGAATGTAGAGAGGCTACGGTCTTCATACTTTTCGAGACTTTGTTCATTTAGAATAAGCCTCCTCAATGAACTTATTCCAAGAACAGACGAATAAGCAGCCGATGGAATTATTCTCCCATTCCTGTGAACGTTTTTTCATAACTTTCCAAATGGAATCGTCACTGTACTTTCCTTGAAAGTGGTGTCTAAAGATTATAACTTTTAGCAAGAGATATACGTTTTAACTGGATCATTGGCTGAGATTAACTAAAAAAATGGAAGTCGCGAAAGGATCCTGGTCAAAACCCAGATGAAGTTTCATGCCCTTTTTAGAAATGTTTTCGAATCCACTAAGCAAGTTTGTAAAATCATATTCTTTTTGTTTTTTCTAAATACATCAGATGATGTTTAGGCATATTTCCGTAAGTGCACAGAAGTGCATATACCGATTATTACCGGACGATCGATTTCTGCCAAAACCTGGAAGCACTTCTTAACTTTACATGAGGCTGTGGATAGCAGACAATAGTTGAATGAATCCAATTCACTTATTATTTAATGTTCTAACAGTTAATCGCCAGATTTGAGACTTGAATGACGTTTACCTAGCACACAAAGATGAACGAAGACAATGGCTTAAATAAAACATTTGTCGAAATGAAAAGGATAATCACAGAATGAATTGAAGCAAAACCCAAGAATAGCAACTAAGAATTTAAGTAATAAGCAGTTACATGATCGATTTGTTTTCTACGGCTTACCAATTATTATTTACAGGTTCTGCAGGCTGTTCTGCAACACAACAGTTCTAGGAGATAATCTCTCTATCATAGTGGGTCGCAAAGAGGTGTGTATTTATACCGGTCGCAAGAGTATTTTCGCGTAAGTCCAACGGGTTTTATTTTGTGATTTTCTTGAACTTTTAGTTTGAAATGAAACTTTTATCATCTCTCAGTTGCGTCTCTGTCTTTGAGTAGAGTGCACTCAGGGCGACTCCGTCAAAAGGCAGAGTTGCAACTGAGAAAAATTATACTGAGAGGCGCCCAGCCGTGGCGAACAGCTGCCCGAGGACGCGCAGTCTCATTGCATTAGAGAGAGGGATCGGTACTCGCTCTCTCCGTCCGTAGACAGAGTCCCGACTCTGTCGTACTCTGGTCGAAGGCAGAGAGCTTGACAATCGCAAGCCAGGCAGAGGACTGCCCGACTGCGAAGTACTGGTATTTACCCATACCCCCACTACAAACTAGATGCGACGCAGGATCAAGTTTACAGTGGGGGCCCCAAGTGTTTCCGATCGGGCCACTAGTCAAAATTTACCCAACCCTAGCAAAAGCCGGATCGGCAGTTTGTATTTTTCTCAGCCGAGTCTCCGTCCGTATTTCTATTTGAGTTTCAAAGAGGATTTTATGTTTGTTGTAAAATAGTGTGTCTCGATTAAATAATCCTTGAGCAAATGTCTCGTCAGATCAATACATTTTCATGTAAGTGACCCAATGCCTATATAAAAGATAGAATAATGAAACGGGTATCAAAATGAAGTCAATTTCTTTCTCTTCAAAATTACGACGGTTGAAAAGTAAGGATTTCAATCTAATTAAACAAATTTTAGAACTGACAGAATAAACTGGTAGCAAAATGATGTCCAATATAACTCTTTAAAATTGAGAGTTTATTTAAGCGTTTCATTCAGAGTATACTCACCAAACGCGTAGAAAAAATAATCACATAAACATTCACATATCGTAAGCTAGAACAATGGAAGATTTAATCCCAATAATATTTAATTACTGTCACCGCTATGTTTTTTAGAAAAAGGCCCATTTATTCGAAACTAGCTTAAACGACGCACTCTGTACGGACTTTTCAGCTAGCTCTTGCCGAGGGCTAATTGCACCTCTGGTCCAAAATTAAAGGGAAATCTTGTCCAGCTTAGAAAACAGCAATGGGAATTTAGAAGAAATAACTTTGAATTCTTCAATGCACTGTATAGAATTTCAAAACTTCATTTTACCTTTGATTAGTGCTATAAGTCTAATTCCGGTCAAAAGACCGATTTGAGTAGAAAATCCGATTTGGGACGAAATTCTAATTCAGAATGAAAATTTAGTTCTTCAAATGACAAATTCCATAGAACTTTAATTCAGTCAAGTTCGCAGAATCATAAAATCTGCAGAACATTAAAACCTCAAAACCTCGCAATTTAATTTTGATTTCTTAGCATTTTGAAGAAATAAAATTGATTTTCACAATTCACAAAGATAAACTGAATTTAAAAAAAATTTTATAAATTCACAAAAGTTTTTGTGTTACCTTAAACATAATATAAATTAAGAACTCTTAAAATGACTAATTTTTTTCAGTTGTTTTAAAATTTGAATTTTTAACAGATTCTTCCTCCTTCGAACACAAATCCCAATGCTGGATTTTCAAGCACTAGATAAAGGCCAGATATTTAATGCCGGGATGACCCTGATTCCAAAAAATATATAATACGTCTATGTAACGATGTGGAATACATTTTGATGGAGAAAAAACCTTGAGTTAGGAAACGCTTCAATGTCGAAGAGCAAAATGTTTGGATGGAATAAACGCATTTATGGAGAAAACGCTTTGTTAGGGAAAACGCTATGATAAGAAAAAGGCTTTAATGGCAAAACATCTTGCTGGGGAAAAGGGTTTGAAGGAGAAGTGCTTTGATGGGGAAAAGCTTTCATGGAAAATGCCTAGTTGGGGAAACGCTCTGATAGTAAAAAAAACCTTAATGCAGAATACGTTTGGATAGGAAAAACGCTCTGATGGAGTAAACACATTGATGGGGAAAACGCTTTGATAAGAAAAACGTCTTGATGTGGAAAACACATTGATGAGAAAATCGTTTTGATGTGGAAAAACACCTCGATAGGGAAAACATCTTGATGGGCAAAATGCTATCATTGTGAATACGCCTCGGTGGGGAAAAGGCTTTGATGGGGAAAATGTCTAGACGGGTAAAACGTCTTTATGGGGAAAACGATCTGATGGGGGAAAACGCTTGTTTGGGAAAACACATTTGTTGGGAAAACGCGATCTTGCAATATCCCAAAAGGATAACAACCTTTTCCGTTTGAGTCGTTTGAATAAAAGGTAGCGAAACTTGGATGTGACGATGGTGTAAAGCACTTACGGACGTATCAAATTGAAACACTACTTCCTGTAAGATCGCCGAGGTTAAGCAACATCGAGTCTGCTCAGTTTTTAGATGAGTGAACACTTTGAAATACAAGGTGCTGTAAACTTTGATGTGATGGTAATAAAATGGGCTTACTGCTATATCACTTTGAAATACCGGTTCCTTTACGATCACCGAAGTTAAGCAACATCAAGTCTGGTCAGTACCTAGATGAATGACCACTTGCGAATACGAGATGTTGTCAGCTTGGATACACCATTTTTGTAATGAATAATGGTTGTAAATTTTTAATCAGAGAGCAAAGTTCCAATTCAAATCTTTAAATACGGAAAATATTAATTCTCAAAATTAAGATAGATTAATGTTTATTGGGTTACAAAGAAGATTATATTTATTATTGTAAATTACAATAATTGTGGCAGATGACCTACAAAGTGGGGAGTGGGGTTGAGGTGGGTCATCCTTACCTATTCTATACCTACCTAACCCGATTCACGACCCATTTATTCAATACAAATAAACTATTCACCGAAATAATTCACCCTTCACCTTTTACTCTTACATATACCACAATAGCACATCCACAAATAGAACCTAAAAATTAACCCCATCATTTAAAATTTCTCATGTACAAATGTTCATAAATTATATATATATATATATATATATATAGTTAAATTCCCAGATAATAAAAAAAAATAATAATAATCCCTTACTATAAAGGTAATTTACATTAACCAAAAAAAAGGCTTAGACACAAGCGTCTATCTTTTTTAATTTTGAATTTTAATGTAACTATAACAACAAAAAACATTTCGATTTCATTTTTGCCTTGAAAAAGTCGGAAGACGAAAGGCGTCGTCAAAATGTAAGATTTTTTTTCCAAATTTGTATTATATATATATATATATATATATATATATATATATATATATATATATATATATATATATATATATATATATCTGACGATGATGTGGAATGATGGGGAGCGTTCTAAATCCCAATAAAAAATTATATGTAAAACAGAAACTAACGGAAAATAATTGATGTTAGTAGGACCCTTTCCCACCAAAAAAAAAAAAAAATCAGAGTTGCCGCTGTATTCTGTCATCAGACAGAATCAAGAGGCTAACTCTCTAACGGAATGGGGGAGGTGAAAAATAAATGTAGTACATGGGGAAATCAAAGACTGAACCAGTCGAGACGAAAGGTTACAAAGAAGACTAACGGTTTAAATTAAATATTAAATTGAATTTAAATGCAGGTTTATAAATACTCAAAGTTATGGCCACCATTTGTCATACTGACATCTTTGGAGATCGATTTATTTTGTTTTATAGTTGTGTTGGAGTTATATTTTGAAATACAGTTTGATTTCTTTAAGAAATTGTAGGATATTATATGGATTAATGTCATGAAAGAGTTCTTACATTTTGCTTGTTTGATTGGTTGGTTTTGTTTAGCCGAAAATCTAAATTTTTTGAACACAATTTTAATGCAGATAGAATATAATGCTGGTCAGTGAAAATGTATTGTTGGTTATTTCACCATAAATATGTATTGTTGATAATTTTACTATATATACGTAATTTTTTGCTAAGTTTTTCATGTAAAAATTATTGCTGGTATCTTCATTAGTATAACGTATTTTTATAATTTCACAGTGTTTTTTTTTTGTTTGGATTTGCGACCCTATCAGGTGACCCCCCACCCACGTCAGGATGGACCTGGGAAGAACAGTTATAAGAGGTAGTTTCATACTCCTTAAAAAATCTTCAATCTCTCGAACAGAAGCCGGATGTAATTTATCGTCATACCCAGGGACAACTATGTGACACTGAGGCGGTGAGGTGGTTAAAATTAATTCTAAGCCGAAATTAAAAGGGTTATATATATATATATATATATATATATATATATATATATATATATATATATATAGAGAGAGAGAGAGAGAGAGAGAGAGAGGTGATATTTTACTTGGTGAGAATGGAACCATCTGGATTTCTTTTTTCCTAAAGTTTATTTTTCCTATCTACCGAGAGACTGGGGAACAATTTTATAACCTTCTTGGGAAATTAGAAAAACACATGTCACTGATAGAAAAACAGATCAGAATTATATTTTTATTACCGAAAACAAATCAAGAAATGGAAAGAGAGAATCAAAAAGCAGGTAATCTGGCCTGTGTCTCCGCTAAGACAGCGATCGGCCCAGGGTTGGAAATTAGGCAAACAAATATATTTTCATTTACGAAAACACATTGGGAAATAAGTATATCTATTTCTGGAGAAATAGGGGAAAAAATATTAACGGAAAGAAAAGCAGATGATGATCATATTTTAATTGATGACAGCGAAAACAAGGAACGAACCCTTTTTCTTAGGGTTGAGGTTATGAAACTCAATTCTGTCGTGCTAAGAAGGTGTTCTGGTTTGTGCGAAAGGAGTCAGAGAATTTAAATTAATGAGGAGAATAAACCGCGCCCTTTCTCCTACGCAAGTTAAAAAATAGATTTGTCACAAACACAATTGTGCGCTCTGAAAAGTAGGAAGAGTTAGAATACTGCGAATGAAAGAAAAAGGGGCATAGTTTTTCCCGCCTTTTGAGTAGCGGTGAGAGATATGAAGTGAAGCAGGTTGGAGTTAAAGGAAAAGCAATCCCTGTGACTATTCCCAAGGAAGGTGGACAATTTTTGCAAATTTTGAAAGTTGATTAAGAAAGTGAAGATAGGGAACATAGAATTGACGTGAAAATTAAAGAACCAACGATTCAGAAGAACCCTTCGACCCCATGCCAGTTTTGGGTCGAAGTTCATATAAGAAGACGACAGCTGAGGTCCTGCATCTGAAATCCACGCCAGCTGCCAACTATCCTGATTCCGAAACAATGAACCCAGCCTTCCTGAAGTTTAGACAAGGCCCAGTGTCACTAAAGCGATTGATGCAGGAAGGATGCATTTTGTTGTACCAATTGAAGATTAAGCCCACGATTCTCTCTTTTTATTTTTCTTAGTAGTGAAAATATTTTTCCTTAATATAGCACTAGCCAAAAAATTGATCAGCGTTTGACGCCATTAAATCTTCTACTGCACTCAGATGAAAAACACAACTTGAGCAAAGACAATGAGGTTCGAAGCAGGCAGCGACAAACAAACAGCTTGGACCAGTCTCAGTTTGACTAGCGCAGACTTAGCCCCCGGTTAACACATTGTCCTAAGACCCTGATGACCGGAACATTAAACGTGGTTACACTGCCGAGTGTATTAGGCGGCGAAAGATTTTACAAGTACATCTGAATGTGATTTTGAACCTGTAAATATAAAGGCCACTTTAATACAAAAACACATTCGGCTTACGAGTATATCACGTTGAAACCCTAGTTCCTGCACGATCACCGAAGTTAAGCAACGACGAGCATGGTCTGTACATAAACGGATAATGGTTGGGAATATCAAGCGCTGTAAGCTTGAATGTGTGAGTGGTGTAATGGATGATGGCTCGTAATTCTTAATCAGAAAACGGACTTCCAATTCCAGTTGGGTTTGTTATATTCATCATCTACGCGCAAATCCTCTTGGCAAAGTGTTATGGACCCAGAATAGGTCCGAAAGAAAACTCGAACTCAGCATTTTCTCAGCATTCACTAAACTATAATTGTCACCAAAAATAAAATAAAATTTGCGTACAAAATATTTAGATTTTGGCATGAAGTGACCCATAGAGGTGTTGATATACCGCCAAACAAAATCAACCAAACAAACAACCAAAACCTATTTGCCTTATTACTGTTGATTTGCCTTATCGCTTTGACTTTACCTTATTGCAGTTGTTTACATTATTGCTACTATTTGCATTATTACTGTTGATTTGCCTTATTGCTGTGGTTTTGCCTTATTGCTATTCCTTGCATTATTGCTGCTATTTGCCTTATTAGTAATGATTTGCCGTATTGCTGTGTTTTTGTCTTATTGCCGTTGTTTACATTATTGCTGCTATTTGCCTTATTACTGTTGATTTGCCTTATTGCTGTAGTTTTGTCTTATTGCCGTTCCTTGCATTATTGCTGCTATTTGCCTTATTAGTAATGATTTGCCTTATTGCTGTGGTTTTGCCTTATTAGTGTTGATTTGCAATATTGCTGTTGCTTTGTCTTGCATATGTTGTTTGCTTGCTTAATATTACTTTTGCCCGGTTATTTTCTTTCTCTTGTGATTTTCTAAGCATAAGTAAGATGTGGCACAAGGCCGAAAGAACAGGTTACCCAGTGAGGATCGAACTATATACTCAGTCGTAATTGTCCCTTGCGAGACAAGCTTACTAGCCAATACTCAACATCGCAATGCCCCATAGTAATTTTCTAGGCGTAGCATAGATGTGGCGCAAGGCCGAAAGTTTGTTGTTTTAAGATATTTTCATTTGTTCATAGGATTTCCGTGTTATATTCATTTTCTCCTAGGATTTGAGTAAAATTTAATTTGTTCCTAGGATTGACGGAATATTTTCATTAGCTTCTGGGATAACCGTTATAAGTTCATTTAATACTAGGAAAGATATTTTATATTCATTTGATCTTGGGACGGACGAGATATTTTCATTAAATTCTAGGATTGCACCTAGGATTGCCGTAATATTTTCAATTGCTTATTGGATTGCCATGATATTTTCATTTGCTTATTGGATTGCCGTGATATTTTCATTTGCTTATTGGATTGCTGTGATATTTTCATTTGCTTATTGGATCGCCGTGATATTTTCATTAACTCCTAGGATTGCCGTGATATTTTCATTTGCTTATTGGATTACCGTGATATTTTCATTTGCTTATTGGATTACCGTGATATTTTCATTTGCTTATTGGATTGCCGTGATATTTTCATTCGCTCAATGGATTGCCGTGATATTTTCATTTGCTTATTGGATTGCCGTGACATTTTCATTTGCTTATTGGATTGCCGTGATGTTTTCATTTGCTTATTGGATTGCCGTGATATATTCATTTGCTTATTGGATTGCCGTGATATTTACATTTTCTTATTAGATTGCCGTCATGTTTTCATTTGCTTATTGGATTGCCATTATATTTTCATTTGCTTATTGGATTGCCTGCCATCAATCTGACATTTTCATTTGCTCCTTGTATCACCGCGATATTTTCATTTGTTCTTGGTATCACTGGGATATTTTCATTTGCCCCTAGGGTTGCCGTGATATTTTCATTTTCCCCTAGGATTGCCGTGATATTTTAATTTGCACCTGGGATCAACGTTATATTTTTTTCTTTTGCTTCTGGGATCACAGTTATATTTTCGTTTATTCTTGGGATCACCGCTATATTTTTATTAGCCCCTGGGATTGCCATGATATTTTCATTTGCTCCTAGTATCACCCTGATATTTTCATTTGCTAATGGGACAGCCATGATATTTTCATTTTCTCCTTGGATCAACGTGACAATTTCGTTTGCTCCTGGCATAATCGTCATGAATTCATTTAATAATAAGAATGCCATTTTATGTTTATTTGCTCTTGGGATTGCCGTGATATATTCATTAGCTATTGTTTTTGTCTTTTTTTTTATTTTCATTTGCTCATAGGATTAACGATATATTTTCATTTGATTCTGGGATAACCATGATAAGTCAATTTAATACTAGGATTGCGATTTTATTTTCATTTGCGCTTGTGATTGCCGAAATATTTTCATTGGCAATCCTAGGTGGTAACCGAAATTATCACGGCAAACAAAAGAGGAAATTCAAATATCACGGCAATCCTAGGAACAAATAAACATAAAATGGCAATGCTAGGATTAAAAGAGATTTATTATTATCCCAGCAGCTAATAAAAATATCACTGCAATGCCATGATAAAAAAACATAAACGTCAATCCAAGGATCAACTGAATTTATCACGGTAATCCCAGCATTAAAAGGAAATATCACTGGAAAAAAAGGAGCAAAAGAGAATATCACGGCAAACATAAGATCAAATGAAATTTTACTGGAATGATAGGGGAAATGAATATATCAGAGAAAACCTATGTGTAAATGAAAATATCACGGGAATGTTAGGTGCAAATGAAAATATCACGGCAAACCTAGAGCAAATAAAAAGATCACGGCATTCCTAGGAGAAAATGAAAATATCATGCGAATTCTAGGTGCAAATGAAAATATCACGGCAATGTTAGGAGCAAATGAAAATATCAATGTAATTCTAGAAGCAAATGAAAATGTCACGGCAATCCTAGGAGCTAATGAAATATCACGACCATGCTAGGAGCAAATAAAAGTATCACGCCAATCCTAGGAAGAAATGAAAAAATCATGGCAATCCTAGAAAGAAATGAAAATATCACGGTAATCCAAGGAGCTAATGAAATATCACGGCAATTCTAGTATCAAATAAAAATAACACGGCAAACCTAGAAGCAAATGAAAATATCACGCCATTCCTAGGAGATAATTAAAATATCAATGCAATCCTAGGAGCTAATGAAAATATCACGGAAATCCTAGGAGATAATGAAATATCACGGCAATCCTAAGAGCAAATGAAAATATGACGGTAATTCTAGGAGCAAATGAAAATATCACGGAAATCCAAGGATCAAATGAAAATATCAATGTAATCCTAGAAGCTAATGAAAATATCACGGAAATCCAAGGATCAAATGAAAACATATGAATGCAATAGCAGAAGCTAGCGAATATATCACGGCAATCCAAGGATCAAAGGTAAATATGACGGTAATCCTAGGATCAAATGAAAATATCAATGTAATCCTAGGTGCTAGTGAAAATATCACGGTAATCTTAGGAGCAAATGAAAATATCAATGAAATCCTTGGAGCTAGTAAAAATATTACGGCAATCCTAGGAGCAAAGGAAAATATCACGGCAATCCTAGAAGCAAATGAAAATATGACGGTAATCCTAGGAGCAAATGAAAATATCACGGAAATCCAATAATCAAATGAAAATATCAATGTAATCATAGGAGCTAATGAAAATATCACGGAAATCCTAGGAGAAAATGAAAATATCACGGTAATCCTAGGAGCAAATGAAAATATCAAGGCAATCCTAGGAGCAAATGAAAATATCACGGTAATCCCGGGAGCAAATGAAAATATCACGGAAATCCAAGGACCAAATGAAAATATCAATGTAATCCTCGGAGCTAATGAAAATATCACGGCAATCCTAGGAGCAAATGAAATACCACGACAATTCTAGGAGAAAATTAAAATATCACGGCAATCCTAGTAGTATCACGGCAATCCTACGAGCTAATGACATATCACGTCAATCCTAGAAACAAATAAAAATATCACGGTATTCCTAGGAGCTAATGAAATATCACGGCCATCCTAGGAGCAAATGAAAATGTCCCGGTAATCCTAGGAGCAAAGGAAAATATCAATGTAATCCTAGGAGCACATGAAAATATTACGGTAATCCCGGGAGCAAATGAAAATATCACGAGAATGCTTGGAGCAAATGAAAATATCACGGCAAACCTAGGAGCTTATGAAAGTATCACGTCAATCCTACGAGCTAATGAAAATATTACACCATTCGTAGGAGCTAATGAAAATATCAATGTAATCATAGGAGCTAGTGAAAATATCGCGGCAATCCTAGAAGTACATGAAAATATGACGGCCAATCTAGGAGGAAATGAAAATATCACGGAAATCCTAGTAGCTAATGAAAATATCACAGTAACCCTAGGAGCAAATTAAAATAACACGGCAATCCTGGGAGAAACATTTTTAAATGGTATATTAAATGCAATTTTTACGGTTATACTAGCAGCGAATAAAAAATAACGGCAATCCTAGGAATAAATGAAATTCTATTGAAATCCCAGTAGCAACTGAATATAACACAGAAAGACTATCAGCAAGTGAAAATATCACGGCAATCCTGGAAGAAACATTTTTAAAGTGTATATTTTTAATCATTATGAAATATATCCATAGTTTTTTTATGAATACACACACATATATATACTTACTTTATTTCAGTTTTTCAAATCAAGTATTTGTTCTTATTTAGTGTGAAACGTATGGCTTACTGTTTTTCGTCCCACTATGAGCATGAGCTGCCCAGTTTCATATTCCATTTTCGATAGAGTTCAAAAACGTCTCGTGGTATTTGTGGGTGACAATTGATTTCCACCCTACCACACCTTTCTCACAGACAAAACGTCCCAATACTCCCGCTGTTCTGTCGCAAGCCAAGCACATTTTAACGAATCGTCGTTATCCTCTTCGTATTTTTTGATGAGATGTAAGTTCTAATCTACCAGCTTTTTCTCATGAACCATTCACTGCCTTTGTGAAAGGAACATCCAAGAGAATGCTTCCCGAATTACGATAATCTTAACCTCTTCAAGTCCATGATTAATAGTCATCTTTCACATATATCTTAATAAGCTAGGCGTCTTTAACTATAATCCGCTACCTGAAGTGGGACGCGCAGTTGCGATAGGGTAACCTATCAATTTTTCTTCTTTCTTTCTCCTTATATTTTACATTTCTCGTCAGATGTCCTTTCTTTCTTTCTTTTTTCTTTCATTCTTTCCTTCCTTCCTCCCTTCCTTCTTTCTTTTTTTCTTCTTATAGTTTATGTTTCTTATCAAGTTTTCATGTCTTTCTTTCTTATATTCTACGTTTCTTGTCAAACTTTCTTTCATTTTTCTTATATTTTAAAATTCTCTTCAGGCATTTCTCCCTTTAGGCTTTCTTTCCAGTTTTCTTGTTTTACGATTCTTGTCACATTGTCATACTTTCATTACTATTTTTCCTTCTATTCTAAGATTTTTTGTGTGTATTTCTCTCTTTCTATCATACTTATATTTTACGATTCTTGTCAAGTTTTCTTTCTTCTCATATATTACGTTTTTTGGCAGGTTCACCTTTTCTTATTTTTTACGTTTCTCGTCAAGCTTTCTTTGTTTCTTCTTATATTTTACGTTTCTTATCAAGATTTCTTCCAATCTTCTTATATTTTACGATTCTTATCAAGCATACTTTCTTCTCATATTTCACGTTTCTTATCAAGCTTTGTTTCTTTTTTCTTAAATTTTACGATTCTTACCAAGCTTTCTTTCTTCTTATATTTTACGTCTATCAAGCTATCCTTCTTATATCTTATATTCTACGTTTCGTATCAAGCTTTCTTTCTTTCTGCTTATGTTTTTCTATTCTTATAAAGCTTCTTTCTTCTTATATTTTACGTTTCTTATCAAGCTTTCTTTCTTTCTACTCATATTTCTTGCCAAGCTTTCTATCTTTTTATATTCTACGTTTCGTATCAAGCTTTCTTTCTTCTTATATATTACGATTCTTATCAAGCTTTCTTTCTTCTTATATTTTACGTTTCTTATCACGCTTTCTTTCTTTCTTCGTATATTTTACAATTCTTGCGAAACTCTTTCTTCTTATATTTTACGTTTCTTATCACGCTTTCTTTCTTTCTTCGTATATTTTACAATTCTTGCGAAACTCTTTCTTCTTATATTTTACGTTTCTTATCACGCTTTCTTTCTTTCTTCGTATATTTTACAATTCTTACGAAACTCTTTCTTCTTATATTTTACGTTTCTTATCACGCTTTCTTTCTTTCTTTCTTTATTTTATTTTATATTAATTTATTTGTTTTCTTTATTTCTTCTTATATTTCAGGCTTCTGGCAAACCCTATTTCTTCTTATATTTTTTCCGTTTATTATCAAACATTCTTTCTTTCTTCTTATATTTTACGTTTATTACCAAGTTGTCATTCGTATTTTCTTTATTTCTACTTATATTCAATGATCCTTGTGAGTTTTTCGGTTTTCCTTTCTTTCATTTCATATTTTATGTTTCTTGCCAAGCTTTCTCTCTTTTTACTTATATTTTTTTGTAGTTTTTTGCCAGGCTGTCATTCTTTTTTTTCTTTCTTCTTATATTCTATTATTGTGTGAGTTTTTGTGTCTTCCTTTCGTTCTTCATATATTTTACGTTTTTTCTCAAGTTTCTTTTCTTTTTTCTTATATTTTACGTTTCATACCAAGTTTATTTCTTCCTTCTAATATTTTACGTTTCTTTTCAAGCTTTTTTTCTTCCTTCTTATATTTTACGTTTCTTGTTCGGTTTTCTTTCTGTTTTTCTTCTTACAATTTAGAATTATTTTTTTCTTCCTTTCTTTCTTTCTTTCTTCTTATATTTAAAGTTCCTATTCGTATTCTTTCTTCTCTTTTCGTCTTATATTTTACGTTTCTTGTCAGTTTTTCTTTCTTTATTCTTTTCTTTAATTCGTCTTGCAGAGTTTTCTTTCTTCTTTACATTTCTTGTTAAATTTTTCTTCTTTCCTTCTTTCTTTCTACCTTCCTTTCTTGCTCGCTTCTCATTTTCATAATCTGCCATTATTCGCTTTTCTTCTTTCTTTCTTTCTTTCTTTCTTTTAATATAATTTACATAAGTTTCTTCCTTTCGCTTTTCTTTCTTTCTTTTTTATATTTTACTTTCCTAGTCATATTTTCCTTCTTTTTTGCTTTCTTTGTTTTTCTTATTTTTTTTTTATGTTTCTTGAGACTTTTTCTTTCTTTCCTCTTATAATTAACCTTTCTTGTAAAGTTTCCTGACTCTCGTTCATAATTCCTTCAGACACGTCTTTATTTCTTTTTCTCTTACGTGTCTCTTTGTTTTTCCTCTTTACTTTTTTTTATTTGTTTCATTTTTTTTCTTTCTGGATCGTTCTCAACGAAAATGTTTCATTTTTATTTCCTTGTTTGATCGTCTGAGTGTGTAATGTGTCCCTTCTGATCTCTCTCTCTCTCTCTTAGTGTAGAAATTCTCAGAGTCGACCCCTTTATCTCTTTTTATATCTTTCAGATATTCGGCAGTAAATTTTACTCTACATGATCTACGATCACTACTGCTAACACTTAACTTTTGATTCTAAGCGTTCATCTTTAAATAATATATCCAAGCCTCAATGGGTTTGGATCCTCTTTGTTCCTTATGTCTTTTCAACTACGTTTCCGATATCTTTGACAAGATATTTTATTGTTTCTTCCATTTGGCTTATTCAGTGAGTCATTCATTTTATTCACACACACACACACACACACACACACACACACACATATATATATACATACATACATATATATATATATATATATATATATATATATATATATATATATATATATATAACGTAGGTTTTAATTATGCACCAAATGAAAATACTAGAGAAAGAGGGAAGATAATTTTTTATTTAACTTACTGTTGTTCCATAAATCTAAACGTGTATTTAGTTGAAATATGGCGTATAAATAATATCTTCTGATATTGCGTAATATATATATACATACACACACACACATACATACATATATATATATATATATATATATATATATATATATATATATATATATATATATATATATATAGTCTTATTATAAATTAATTGATTTAATATATGTTTTTTTTTCACTACACAGTTCTAACCACGTTTCAAAAATGGAAAAAATCAATTAATTTATAATTCTAATGCTCTGTAAATTTACATTGAGCACTATTTTGTAAAAATAAAAATATCTATAAGAACACCGGATTATATATCTTACTGTTATTTCTTTTGATTTATATACATATATATATAATCTTATATATATAAGAAAGTTTATATATATAACATTATAATTATACGTTCTTTTTATAGATACGAATATTTAAGTAAATGCTCCGTTTATAATAAACAGTATCAACAACATTTACCGGCCTGAATGTCCGAGAGATTTTCATAGAAAATATGCGTCCTCCAACAGGAATCGAACCTGTATCCTATACGGAACCGTCATATAGCCTGACGTGCTTTAAACGATTGAGCCACAGAGAAGCGTTCGGTTAGCAAGATCGATTATGCTTTTTTTGAACACAATTCTTCATGATTTTCTCTCATTCATTCATATCTGCTCAATGCGTATCCAAATGTAAACAAATTGTCATACATTATATAATGGACAAAGTCCGACAATTATTTTTTAAGATATTTTTTTATGTTTATACATTCTGTTTTTTAAATACAAATATTTAAGTAAATGCTCTGTTTATAATAAACAGTATTAACAACATTTACCGGCCTGAATGTCCGAGAAATTTTCGTAGAAAATATGCGTCCTCCGAAAGGAATCGAACCTGTATCCTATACGGCCTGTCATGCCGTGGTGGCTTTGTTTAAATTGTTGATTCCGCTTGATAACACGCTTCTCTCCCAGAAACTGTAACTAATTTATTTTCAGTTTAGTTGCAATATCAGCCATAAGTGTGCTTTGTGGGTGCTGAACAAACGTAAAATATGCCTGAGCAAGTGACTGCAATAGGGATTAGGTAACCGGATATCCACGAATACGAGTGGCCACCCATTAATCTTTTATTTATTTCACATTAATTTAATCCGTTCCTCTTTCGACAAACGTAAATTTTTTTATGTGCCGTGTCCTTTCATGACGTAGGTGATCATGGCTCTCCCATTCACCCTATCCTGTGTAGCTCTCAATAAGTTCTGTCACCCACCTGCTTAAGCCCTTCATGTATGTCATGCATTGCTTTCCCTTGTCTCTTTCTCCCTCTATTCGACCCGTGAGTATCAGATTCTCCTGGCCCTCTTTTCTCATTACGTGTCCCAGAAACTTCAGCTGCTGCTTCCTGATGTAAAGTATAAGCCTCCTACTTGTTTGTATCCTATCCAAGACCTCATCGTTGCTCACACGCTCGGTCCATGGTATCCTCAGCATCCTTCTGTAGAACCACATCTCCGTTGCCTCGAGTTTCTTCATCTTTGAGGATAGCGTCCGATATTGGAGGCAAGATGTAAAGGAGGAAAGATGTCATGTAACAGTTCAGTATTCTTTTCTTTGTTACCAAAGAGATCCTCTTGTCTCGCAATACTTTGCCCGGCTTTTGGAATGCTTCTTTGGCCATCCGAATACGTCTACGGATCTCAGTGTCGCACTTGCCCTCCTCTGTCAAAACACTTCTCTGATATTTAAACTTGCGCACCTACTTGATTTTAGTGTCCCCAACCTGTAAATCGCATTTCGGGCTCTTACACTTATTGATGACCATGTATTCTGTCTTCTTGTAGTTTATGCTTAGTCCCTTCTTCTCGCTCTCCTTCGCTACCTTCCGTAGGAGGCCTTGTAATTTCTTTTCTGTGTCTGTCATCAGTACTGTGTCATCAGCGTATCTTAGTTATTCCGCTTTTTATTCTCATCTAGATTTGGTGCCGTCCAAAATTGTCCGAAGTCTATCATTGGACTTTCTGATTTGTGCAATCATGAAACAATGGCTGATTAATTATACTTTTGGGAGCGATTTAAATTCAACCGATATATTATCCTGTACTGCATTTCATACCACCTCAACCCCCAGATTGTCTTTTGATTCAGAAAGAATTAATCTACAAGATTATGAATGTCAAATTAAGAAACTTGTAATTTTGTTAAAACGCACCCAGTCATACATTGACACAACGAGACGTAAGCAGACATATACGCACGCACAATATACGTAACAGACATTCGTCTGTCTCGGAAGACTCTGGAATCTTCTAGAGTGGCTAGATAATCCCTATTGGAAGCACCAGCTCAGAGCAGACCTTGAAAGAGGACATAATCTGCCGTGATCATTACTTAGGGAAGGCGGACACATTCAAACTCTCGGTCAAGCTGATTTTTTTACTTCGTGCTAACACAACCAACTACAGCCTATGGATACCGTGTTTTCCCGTTCATTTCTATTCTTTCCAAATATTTTCTTCATCCATTAATTTCTACACCTTTTCTTAACTTTATTTTCTTTCAAAATTAAGATTTCATATAGAGTCATCTTTCTTTTATTTCTTACGATCTTTTTTTCTTTCCTTCTTATGTTTGCTTCTCATAATTTATTGTATTTTCCTCAGATTCTTTCTTTCTTTCTTTTTATTTCTTTCTTTAGTTTCGTATATTTTTTTTACTTCGCAACTCTTTCCGCGCTTCTCATTTTTCATTCTTTCCGTTTTTTTTCAATCTTTCTTTTTTAATTCATTCTTTTTTAATTCTTTCTTTTTTCATTTTTTCTTTTTTTAATTCTTTCTATTTTCCATTGTTTCTTTATTTTCGTATATTTTTTATTTGCAACTCTTTCTGCTCTTCTCATTTTTCATTCTTTCCTTTTTTCACTCTTTCTTTTTTAATTCCTTCTTTTTTAATTGTTTCTTTAGTTTCGTATATTTTTTATTTTGCAACTCTTTCTTTCCTTCTTATGTTTGCTTCTCATAATTTATTCTATTTTCCTCAGATTCTTTCTTTCTTTCTTTAGTTTCGTATATTTTTTTTTACTTCACAACTCTTTTCCGCACTTCTCATTTTTCATTCTTTCCTTTTTTCACTCTTTCTTTTTTAATTCTTTCCTTTTTTAATTCTTTCTTTTTTCATTCTTTCTTTTTAAATTCTTCTTTTTTTTTTTTCCATTCTTTCTTTAGTTTAACACCGAAAAAAAAATGTCAGCATTTGATAATTGCTTTGGCATGAAATTCAGAGTCATGCAATCAATGAAAGATATCATGTATTAATATCCTAAAGCAAATCGTATTTAGCCCTACTCTCTATTATCTCCGGCTTTAATGCAGATTTATATAACAAATGAAAACTGAACGAAACATAATACAATTATTTTGTTTTGCCTGTTTTCTCTTAATCTCTGACGATGCTTTAAAAATATGAAACGTGTTAGATTGTTAAACGTTTCCTATTTGTTCTTTATCTTATCTTGTCAGATTCCGATCAATATTTGATTTACCTTTAATCTTTAACGCATATATATATATATATATATATATATATATATATATATATATATAACTAAATTTGATTAGATTGATCTAAGTTTCCTATTTTTCTTTTCTTTCAGGCCTGACAATTGCATCTAGCATGAAACAGACTGTCGCCTCTAATTGTTGACTTCTGTGTTCACTTTTTTATATATATATATATATATATATATATATATATATATATATATATATATATATATATTTTAAGACATTTTTATGTTTATACGTTCTTTTTATAGATACAAATATTTAAGTAAATGCTCTGTTTATAATAAACAGTATTAACGACATTTATCGGCTTAAATGTCCGAGAAATTTTCATAGAAAATATGCGTCCCCCGACAGGAATCGAACACAGTAAAATCGACGTTTCTCACTGAAACACTCTTCTGTGGCTAAATCGGTAAAGCACGTCAAGTCGATAAATGTCATTAATACTGTTTATTATCAACAGAGCATTTACTTTAATATGTGTATCTATAAAAAGAACGTATAAACATAAAAAATGTTCTAAAATAAATGTCCGACTTTTTCTATTTCATAATATATATATATATATATATATATATATATATATATATATTGAACAATAAAAAAATATTAAAAATTAAAATCTTCAGACACACTGGGTTGTAGATTAATATTCTTTCGTTTTTTATTATTATTTCATCTAGATTCCTCGACTAGTTTCGGCCAAAATGGCCATCATCGAGAGAAGAAATATTTCTGCTTGCTGGTAGCAGTAAACTACAGAAATGAATGTCTTGATGGAGAAAATGAACTTTTGTCTGTAGTCTTCATTTGTTTTTTTTTTTATCTTTTTAACATGAATCTTTTAACATTTTTTGTGTTGGTCAAACAGTCTCT